ACAGTGCTTTACCGGAGTGTGGGAGCTCAAAAGAAGGAATACCTGGACTTGGGTAGTGGTGGGACAGACATCTGAGAGTCTTGCCAGGTGCTGACATCTTGCTCAAGTGGATGAAGAAGAAACATTATCAGCTGAAGCAACAATTTGTACAAAAGCAGGTCACATGCATGGCTGCATGAGAGTCTGTTAGGTTAGGGGTAGTGGAGGAAGAGGAAGCTAGAAAGGGAGTCAGGCTAAATAAAGCATGAAGGGCATTGAAGACTCCACCAAGCACTTGACCTTGATCCTTCTGGGGATGAGGAGCAGTGAAGAAGGATTTTAAGCAGAGGAATTACATGGACAGATTTATCCTTTAGGAAGGTCACTCTTGAATGGGTGTGGAGGAAAGATTAGAGGACTGAGAATGGAGGCAGAGAAACCTGGCCAGGTGGTTAGTGCAGAAGTCTTGACTGAAGAGGGCAATGTTTGAACAGAAGCCTGAATTAAACCAGAGGATTTGGGGAGAAAGGAGAAAAAAATCAAGATATGCTAAGCAAGTAGAATATGTCGAACGTGGTGATTTTTGGGGGGGATGTGTTGGGAGTTGTCTTAAAATGATGGTCTCTTGTACTCAGAGGTCAGGAAATGCTTGTTTGGTTAGGCTAAATAAATCTTAAAACTAAAAGACTATCCTCAAATTGGGGTCACAATGTCTCCTTGGAGTTCTCATACGCGTTTCTGGGCTGTTTATGCCACTTTATGCTCTGGACATGTTTTAGGTTCCAGACAAGTTATGGGTGCAGCACTACTCTGGTTTTACAAACAAGCCAAACAAGTGATTCTTTTGAAAAACCATTCACTATTCCCCACAACCCCCACCCCGATATCCTTTTCCTGGCCATGATCTGCCCAGTCTCTCTCCGCTAGTTGTGAAATTTACTGACTGTCTCATCTCCTGCCTCTACCTGTCATACCTTTCTTATCTTCTGATTAATAAAAGAATTAAGTTCTTCACTTATTTAAGAAATCGTTTCATGGCTACTAGTGTCTAAGGGTTTCAGAAGTCTAGCAATGAAACATACCCTGCTAATTGAGAAAACCTATAGGTCCACTCATTATCAAACCCTCCACATGCCACAGACTGTGTATTGAGTATTTTACAAAGTTAAAACAACACAATGCTTGCCCTCTAGGAGCACAACATCTAAAAGCAAACCTATAGAGATAGAAACTGGCAAGAAGAAAATGTTAGAAACAATATCTGCCTTGAATTATCTACGGTAGGATTTGGTTTGAGTAGCTGCTCCGGAGTTATGGCCAAGTGTTAGTAGGCTTGATAGCTACCACTAATGCACTTTATTCCTTGAAGATTTAAGATAGACTGTAGTAATTGAGAGCCTGGGTTCTGGGCTTCTGACTTCCTGGCTCTGCCATTTATTGTATGTGTCACCTTGGGCAAATTTCTTAATCTTTATGCTTCGCTTCATTATCTGCGAGATAAGGGTCATAATAGTATCTGCTCTAGGATTACTGAGAGGATTAAATGGCAAATGTATGTGATGTGCACAGCACACCTCCTGACATGGTGCAGTGCGCAATGAGTTCTTGCTGTTGATCATTCGTGAAGTCTCCTAAGGCTCAGTTGAGAAAGGTGTGCTGTGAGTTCCAAGGATTGTTGCTTTCCTTCCACTCGAAAGCTGTTGTAGCTAACCCTGAGATCCTTTGTAGTCCCTTTATGTTAATTGCAAAGAAAATTCTTTTAATTTATGTTAACTGCAAAGAAAATGCTTTTTCAGGACAAGTTAGTCTTTTGAGTTTCCAAGTTACCTGTTTGATCACTTCATACATGATTGGTAGTCGCTTCAGGGCATTTCCAGCAACAAGTTTGAGGGCCAGCAAGTGGCAGGTAACACCTTAGAGGAGACTCAGGCATCACTGCCTCTCTGAAACCTTCCCTTGATATCCATCACCTCCCTCCTCATTTGAGTTCAACACACATTAATTTAGCACCACTATTTTTCAGTTCTGTGTTAGGCTCCAGGGATACAAGGATGAACAGATGATTCCCATTCTCATGAAACTTAGTGTAATGGAAGTGTATGTAAACAGATTCGATGCACTGTGATACAAGCACAAATGGAAGGGTATAGAAGGTCAGAGAGGTACATAGGAAGAATATTAAGGAAAGTTCCACAGATTTGGTGACATCTCAGTAGATTTTGAATGGAATAAGAATGGGGAAAGTCAGCAGATCAGCGTGGTTTGTACAGGAGAACTGGACCATATGTGTGTGCAGGGATATGATAGGAGATGAAATGAAAGATGTAGGCAGGAGCTAGATCATGTTAAGAGCTTGGCCTTTATCATGTGGACATTGGGGGCCATGAAGTGATTTTAGGCAACAAAATGCTGTAAGATTTGCATGTTTAGCAGGGTTATCCCAGTATGGAAGATGAACTTGAGGTGGATGTTGGAGATCCTGACAGGTTCATGTCCCCACTGCAGATTCATTCAGGCCAGTGACAGAGTCCTCTTGACCTCTGTATCCCTAAAGCCTAGGACTTTATAGACATTTAAGAAATTTTTTGGAATGAAGGCAGCCCGAGTTGAATTTTCTAGTTCTGCATGCTGTCCTCAGAACGTGCTGACCTGGACATCCATCTGTCATAAGCAGCTTGACTAAGATCATAATAAATTCTTTTTTCTTGGCATTTTTTTAACTGGCACTCTCTATTTACTAGCCCCTCTGTGCAACTATAGTGTAGTGATGATTGATGCTTATAATTCTGACCCTGAAGTACTTCAGGGCTTCTAAATCATCAAAAAAAGATTAAAGTATATTCAATATCGCTGTAATGTTTGTGTGTTTTACTGCATTCTTATTCTTTGGAAATTGATGGTTTATCAAGTGCCTGTGTACTCCTGTGCACGCAGCCACAGTGAGAGTCTGTGATCACCTACAACTCTTCACTCCTTCACGGTGCCGGGCACAGGGAGTTTATTAGCAACGCATGCTCAGAAATAAGCAAGCGAAACAAACCTGGGTTCTCTTCATGCCTAGAAGGAAGAAGCACCTTGGCCCCAAAAGGGCAGATTGGACAGAGATGAGAGAGAAAGCAGTGGTTAGAGAAACAGTGGGAGTGATAAAGCAAGAACTGGTACAGACCAGCGAGTCAGGCAGTTTACAAGCCAGCCCACACTGCAGGCCAGCCCACACTGCAGCCCAGCCCAGAGGAGCAGGGGTCGGGGCTGGGACACTAGCTTCCCGTTCCTGTGTGCCTTCACCTGGATCGTCAGGCTTGGGTTTGGCAGCATTCTCCACCAGCTATATTTGTATTGCAGTAACAACTGTTCAGTAAAATGCCAAACATTGGCAAGTGAAAACGTCAATAATTAGAGCATCCTGTTCCCCATACACACACGTCTTCTCATGAAAACCATTATTACTGCAGAGCTGACAATATTATTCAGCCTATTTGAAGAATTCCAAATAGAACCTGTGAGATGGCTCCATTTTGTAACCTGGCTTCCAAAACAAGGCACGTGATGTTGTTACCAGGAGGGAGATTTGCTGTTTGGGATTTCTTTTGGTGGTTGTATATTGCAGTAAGTAGAGATGCCTCTTACATTTTGTTGTATAGATTTGTTTTTAAAATCTGTGTGTTTGATCAAGTTGTTGCCTGTGTCAAAGTGTCATGCTCGTCGTCCCAGCTCGGAGAGCCAGTCCCTGAACCACAGGGATTCTGTTTGTCTCCCTCTAGGCAAGAGCATGTGTGGACTCTAGAGCTGGCTTTACCAGTTGCCAGCTCTGTGATTTGGGCCAGTCTTATTGTCTTTTTGGGTCTTGGTTCTTTTTCTGATACAGTGAAATAATAGTAATTCCTTCTTTACAGGGTTGCCGTTAGGCTGAAATAAAATGGTGAATGTGAAAGTGCTTAACTGGAAAGCCCTATATAGATAATAACATACAAAATATACTAAAGAACATCATAAATATTCTAATAAAAAATAGAAATATGTTTCATCAGCAAGCATGATGTTCTCAAAAATTTCACCAAAGTAGAGTGGGGAAAATAAGCTCTTTATTGAATTCCTACTATAGAGTAGATGTTCTAGGTGTTAGTTTATCCACTCTGCAAGGTAGATATTAAACCCCTGTTTCAGAGATGAGGAAACAGAGACTTCCAGTCACACAGCTATACATATTCATAGCAGAAGTGGGATTTGGACCTGACTCCAGAACTTAATGCTCTTTCTCCTTATCTCTGGTTGTCTATCTTGTTCCAAACCCCCATCCCCACCCCAAAGTTCTTAAAAGCTGTTCATGTCCTTTTGGGCTAGGAGATTTGCTAGTCACTTCTTGGTCATTCACTCTGACAGTGGGGCAGGGTGGGATTCAGAAGGAACTCCTGAGCTCCGAGAGCCCCTGGAGGGACCAGCAGCTCAGGGTGTAGAGCCCGCTCAGGCTCCACTTTTAGGGTGTTGGCCAGGCCTGGACAGAAAGCAAGGAGGCAGGTATGCCACTTTTCCTAGCCCTTGAGGAAATGGCTACAGCACTGTAGTTTCTAGAAGTTTGTTCTTTCTCTGTCGAAGTGTTTTCCAACCTCCCTGAGGTTTGTGAGCTGCTTCTTGGATCCTCCACTAAGGAGTCAATGCCTCTCATGTATTCTGACCAGCTCCTTGTTCTGCTTGCTGAGGGAGCGAGGTTAACTTTATTCCATGTAGTAACCACTCTACTGAGCTTTCTGGAATCTTCCCTGTTAACTTTGACGTGAGGAATTGGAGGAAAGGATCCCTGATGTGGCGGTTCATTAAGTGACCAGGGGGACCCATTTTCTTTTTTATATAAAGTTCTCCAGATTCCAGACAAAGTCAGCTTGTGAACTGGAGCTGCCCACACAGAGAACCAGAAATAATGCTCATTGAAGGGCCATATTGAATATTCAGGGAGGATGTCAGTGTGTGGGAGAAGCATTTGTTCAGACTGTGGATCTGAGAGGAGCTGTGTCATGTTTCCATAGGTTCTCAACAGGAGGTGCGTCGAAGCGGCAGTGATGACAGGCCTGGCACTGAACTGCCGCATAAACAAGAAGTCCTTGTTTGACAGGAAGCACTACTTCTATGCAGACCTCCCTGTAAGTATGCTTTGTGATCCACCCTCTGTAAGTTCTCAGAGCTGGGGGGGTTTGGAGTGAGGGAGGAGGGCTGTGCCTCTCATGTTTTCAATCAGAGCTCTGTCCATCTCAGCAGGAATTTCTGCATGGCCCTGGTGAAGGCAGGTGCCCCCCGATGTTTACTAGATTGGATGCAGTTGTCCTGATTGCTGACTCCTTGCTTAGCCTCATGCTTCTGGTGGCTCGCTCATAATTGAACGGGGAGTAGAAGCAGCCAGTGTTCTCAGGCTCAGCCGAGCCATGGTGTTTGGTGCTAATTGCCTGTTAGGACAAAAGCTCACTTTGTGGCTGCTGCCGTGGTAAATGCATATTGTAGCTCTGTAGACATAGTGAGAGCTTCCCTCTTTCAAGTTGAAGTTTCTAGTAATACGAAACATGACCCAGAAGCCTGACTAACAGCAGTAATTGGCTGAGCAGTAAACCCAATATTAACCTGCTTTTTCCTTAAAATTAGAAACTTCTTTTAAGAGAAGCCAGTGTGAACTAGAGCCAGTTTTTCATAATATTGAACTGAACCAAAACTAATGTTGCATGGGTTTCCCAAAATAATTTTTCATTCTGTCTGAGCCTCCGATAATAAGTATGGCCCTCCTTCAGATTTAGAAAAACAGTAGTGACAATGTTGCTTCACGTTTTTCTCCTTGAACTGAAGATTGGGGTCAGCTGTTTTTTAGTGGGTGAGGGCGGGAGTAGAATTAAATAAAAAATGCAGCTAGAACCTGAATTCTCCAACTGCTGCCGCTTTTCCCCTCTGGCTGCCAGCCTCTTCGCAAATTCTACTGCTTAGTAGGGTGGAGAGAATTAAACTGCATTTTTTTCATTTTTAAAAGTGATAACCAATTTGGTTAAGGTGAGAGACTGAACAATATGTGACTAAAATGAGATGTTTTGATTATCTATGGCTTTCTGTTCTTTCTGGCCCAGGTAGCTCAGATAATCTCGAGTTAGTGTTGCCAAATATTATATGGAACATACTTATACTAAAGAAGTATTAGTTGTTTATCTGAATAAACAATTTATTCAAATTATTCAAATTAGAATTTAACTGAGCATCCTATATTTTATTTGGCAACCCTACTCAGAGTTTAATTTTTATAAATTGAGACTCCTATTTCAGCCCAGAGAATGAGTTGGCATAATGCAGTGGTTCTCAAAGTATGTTCTCCAGGCCACTAGAATCAGCATCTCCTGGGAACTTGTTAGAAATGTAAATTCTCAGATGCCACCCCAGACCTGCAGAATCAGAAACTCTTCAGGTGGGGACAGACAGTCTGTGTTTTGACCAGCCTGCTCCGTGATCAGATGCAGCCAAAGTTTGAAAAATGCTCGGCTGGCTAGGAGCACAGACTCTGGAGCCAGACCATCTGAGTTCAAATCCTGATGTTGATACTTACTAGCTCTGTGGCTGTGGGCAAGGCCCTGAACCCCTGTCTGCCCTGTACCTCCCTCGTAGGTTGTCAAGGGGATAAGGGACTGAGGCCAGTGTCTGGACCCACACGTGCTACAGACGCTTCAGCTGTTTTTCTCTCCAGTTCTCCGTATTGACCTGCTGTCTCTTTAATGTGTGTTGATGCATGTGTGCGTTTGAAATTCTTCCTCTCCACTTAGAAGGCAGTGAGGGATTCCTAGCAACATCTATCAGTTATTTCAGTACTACGTGCTTTCCATTAGCTGAGTGTGAGTGTCACAGCGTCTTCTGGCTAGAGGAGCAGGAAAGTTGGGTCAGGGAGGACAGCTGGCATGAGTGGTTAGCTTACAGAGCAGGAACAAAACAAGCTAAAACGCACCAGCAACTGCTGTCGGCCCCGCTGAGAGTAGGTGGCAAAATGCTTAGCCAGCACTTCCCAGTAAGGAGGGTCTGTCAGGAGCCCAGTAATCAGATGCAGGGTTTAGGCTAATGAGCTAAGTGGAAACAATAAATTCTTTTCTTAGAGGCCTCTGACAATGAGATTATTGTTATTCCCCAAAATGGTACTTATGTAGGGAAGATGAGATTCGTGTTGTTTATTGCATCATTATGGGGGGGCAGGGGGGAGCGGGGAAGGAAAGCGGGAATGGGAAAAGCCAGAACAGGCCGGAGTAAATTATGGCTGCAGTGTATAAACTAATTTTTCTTCTCCTTTTCCTTTTTTGTTTTTGTTTTGTTTTGTTGTGTTTTTAAGTAAGCCTATAGTTTTGTGACATTAAAAGCAAAAGTAAATTGGACCGGCTTTTATGTCTGGACTAGTGACTGTGTAACCCATGTTTGTGTGCAGGCAGGCTACCAAATTACCCAGCAAAGGCTTCCGATCGCTGTGAATGGGAGCATGGTGTACGGCGTCTGTGTGGGGAAGAAGCGGAGTCAGGTGATCAACAAGACAGTGAGGGTCAAGCAGATCCAGCTGGAGCAAGACAGTGGCAAAAGCCTCCACGATGACCTGCGGTCTCAGACGCTCATTGATTTGAACAGGGCGGGTAGGCTTGGAGATTTTCCGTTACTTTTCCTTCCGGCCACCTCTGTTCTCCTCCAGAGTTTTCCCAGACCAATTGAGGAAACAGGCCCAGCAGCATGACAGATGGAGATAAAAATATCAGCGTTGTTATTGGCATAGCTGATTAGAGAGCACCGCTTGAACTGTGATTACTATTGGGCTTGCTAATAATCCACCACTAAAATGAGACAGATGTAGCCACATAGTCACGGACCCGACAGCTTGATGTCTTAAGCAGACTTTAAAAGAAATGAACCAAAATTAAAAATCAAAAAGTGAGGGGAGGGCCGGCCCCGTGGCTTAGCGGTTAAGTGCGCAGCGCTCTGCTGCTGGCGGCCCGGGTTCGGATCCCGGGCGCGCACCGACACACCGCTTCTCCGGCCATGCTGAGGCCGCGTCCCACATACAGCAACTAGAAGGATGTGCAACTATGACATACAACTATCTACTGGGGCTTTGGGGGAAAAAAATAAATAAATTATTTAAAAAAGCGAGGGGAAAGAGAGAAACAGTTCAAAGACTAGAACCCCCTCTTCGCGAGTCCTTCAGTAATGCAGGGTTTTCCTAAAACTTCAGCCTCATTTATCTGCTGATCCAATTGGAGAGCTCGAGTCAGGCTGACTCTGCCTCTCTTTGGTAGGAGTTGGCCTTCTGGAAGTGGTCCTGGAACCTGACATGTCCTGTGGAGAAGAGGCAGCAACAGCAGTCAGGGAGCTGCAGCTGATACTTCAAGCCCTGGGGACGAGCCGGGCGAATATGGCAGGTGAAGCCACAGAAGCAGTGTCCCTCCTTCTAGACCTCCTCCCTTTCTGCTTCCAGGCTCTCTTCTCACTTGAGTTTTGTTCTCTGCATCAGCTACATTGAGATGGTTCACATGCTTTTTCCAGCCTTTTGCACTGTTTGTTTTGTTTTGTTTTGTTTTTTCTTAGAATTTTCCTTGCATTCTTTTCTGAGCCCCCAACCACAGTAAACACACAAACAATGACAGTGCAGAGGCACTAAGCCCAAGAAGGTCAGATTGAGAGTCAAAGGACTAGATGCTTTCTCTTGGCTTCATGCATCAAAATGTTGAGGATTAATAAAATAATGTGTTTGAACAGTTTCATCTTTCTCAGAAGGAAGAAGCTATGTTTATCCAGAATAACTCTTAGTTTATGAGTGCTGTGTGGGTGGCACTTTTTTGCTGGTTGATGCTTTTCCTTTAGGCCTCTTTCTTTTCCATCTTTGTAGACTTTTCATTCATGTACAGCTGAAGCCAAATTATATCAACTATAAGTCAAGGTTATAATTTCACAAAACTTTAACTTTGAAATAAAGTCTTAAGTTCAGTAGAAATATAGTAAGAAATTAAACAAAGAAAAAATGTGCACCCTTGAGACCAAGCAAACTGGATATAATTGATTGCACTGGATTGAATTGGATATAAAGATTACAGGGGGCTGGCCCAGTGGCGCAGTAGTTAAGTTCGAGCGCTCTGCTGTGGTGGCCCAGGGTTAGTGGGTTCAGATCCTGGGCATGGACCTACACACCACTCATCAAGCTGTGCTGTGGCAGCATCCTGTATACAAAGTAGAGGAAGATTGGCACAGATGTTAGCTCAGGGCCGATCTTCCTCGCTAAAAAAAAAAAAAAAAAAAATTACAAGTATTGGTCAAACTCAGTTTCTTCATGACTCGCTCTCTTGGCCCCTTCTTAGCGCTGCTTTGCTGGCCCTGAAGTCCCTGAAAGCTAGTCTCTCCCATGGTTTTCCCTTATTTTCTGTTACCAGTGGCTTTTTAAAAAAACTTCTGCCACCCACAGAGCACTCCCTGATAGAGTGGAGGAAGGGTACAGATTCTGCATATACAGTTGTTAATCTGTACTCAGTACAGAGGTGTATTAGTCAGGGTTCTCCAGAGAAGCAGAACCAATAGAATGTGTGTGTATATGTTATATATAGGTCTATATGTTTATATATAAAGAGATTTATTACAAGGAAATGGCTCATGTGATTACGGAGGCTGAGAAGTCCCAGGATCTGCAGTCAGCAAGCTATGGGAGAGCGATTGCAGGAGAGCTCTTGCAGGAGAGCAAGCTCCAGGAGAACAGGTAGAGTAATTCCAGTCCACGTCCAAAGGCCTGAGAACCAGGAGAGCCAGTGGTGTAAGTTCCAGTCTGAGCCCAAGTCCAAAGGCAGGAGAAGACTGATGTCACAGCTCAAACACAGTTAGGCAGAGAGAGCGAATTACCCCCTACTCCGCCTTTTGTTCTATTCAGGCCTTCAGTGGATTGAATGAGGCCCACCCACAATGAGAAAGGCAATCTGCTTTATTCAGTCTGTGATTCAAATGTTAATCTCATTTGAGATTTGAGGGAAACACTCTCATGGACACTCCCAGAATAATGTTTAACCAAATATTTGGGTACCCTGTAGCCCAGTCAGGTTGACACACAGAATTAACCATCACAAGTAAGTGGTCACGGTGGGTGCCAGTAAATACCACTGATTGTGATGATTCATCTCCCTACCAGGTTATAATACTATTTACCGACTTTTTTATGTCACATAATATATCTGCATGTTACAAAGGGACTTCTCAATTTGTAATGCTACATTTGTCACATAGGACATCTTACAAGCAACAAATTGTAACATCAGAGCCCTGGTACAAGTTGAATTCGGAGACAGAACTTGCTGATTTGCTATCTCCTTTAAGCTAAAGACTGGAAAAACACAGCCACATGAGTTTGAGTGGCATAAAGGTTAGCTGCCTACAAATTTGCGTTATTGAAATGAGGCTCTGTTTTAGAGTAAGAGGACTCTCTGTTTTAGATTTATGGCTCATGCTGCTCTTTTAGCCACAGAACATAAATGACATATGGCAGTTTGAATGGTTATCCATTTATGCACTAAATGTTGATTCTCTATTGCTTTAAAAAAAGTTTTTATTATTCCATTCTTCCTCCAAATAACTGTGATTCCTACCAAACCTATGGAATGATAAACAGGCCACCTGTTAGCTGAGAAATAGTCCCATCTGGGTCCTTGCCAAGAGAGAAACCACAACGCAAGAACTCATCAGTTGGTGACAGCTGAGAGGGTTCATTAAATCGCATTTGTTGTGACACTTTTTGTTGCTTTTAAATACAAATCCAACAGCTTTGCCCCTAGCACAGCAGCAGAGTGGCTGTGGTTGTTCTAAAGTGCTTTGGGGAGCTAAGGTCTGCCTTGAGTCTGCGGGGGTCCAGCTTTTGTGCTGTTAGCATTTTATCTGCCCGTAGCCCTTTGCTCATTCTTCTGTACCACCACCGTAGGACCACTGTGTGTCGGCGCTGGAGACTGCAGCTGGGAACTGAGGGCCACCCTAGGGAGGACCAGTGGACCCCCAGCATGCTTTGGAATGACTCTTAAATTGTTCTGGGCTGTGATTCAGTGAGTTCCTGATGGTTTTGCTAATGCGCATGGATCAGCTCAGCCCAGCTTCCAAAAGTCATTTCCTTCTCAGCGGCTGTCTGCCACTCTTGAGATCCTCAAGGCAGTCTCTTGAGTTGAATGTGCACTGACGTAGACCTACTAAATGTTTCCATGATAATAATATCTGCCAGTTTAAACGTTTAGTATGTGCTCATTGGTTCACTCGGCATTTTTTTAAATTAATTTATCATCTCATTTAAACTTTACAACATTCCTGAGAGAGAGGTGTTATTATGCCTGTTATACAGGTGAGGAAACAGGCCTAGAGAGGTTGGGTTAATTGCCCAAGGAAGTGACCAAGCTGGGATTTGAGCCTAGGTCTGTCTGACTCCAGGAACCCTTTCTTTAAGCACTGCATCACACTGCTTCCTAGTGGCAGCCACGACACTGTCATAATTGCCATAGATAGCAACTCAGAGAGGTGGCGTAGCAAAGCGTGGATGCTGAGGGCTCTGAGGTCCCAGACCAAAGTTGGAATCCTGTCCTATCATGTCTGGCTGTAGGAACCTGGGCAAGGTGTTTGATTTCTCTGAGCCTCAATTTCCATACTTATCAAATGAGGAAAGGGAAAGGAAGAAACCAAAGAGGAGAGGAGGTCATCCAAGTCTTCAGATAGAGTTGGGGCAGCTGGACGGTGTTACTGCTTACTGAGACAGGGAAGATGGGGAGAGGAGAGGCAGTCTGGAATTCCATTTTGGATATGTTAAGTTTGAAATGCCTAAGGGATGTCTAAGTGGCTTTGTCATTAAAGCTGTATTGCAGGGAATGAATGTGATAATGTCTATAAAACTTATCACAGGTCCTGACAAATAGCCTGTGCTCAGTAAATGTTAGGTGCTTTTATTAACAGTGATAAGTAGTATTCCTTTTACAGAATCGCAACTCATTTTGGATGACTAAGCTGTGTGAAATGTATTTGATAAAATTTGGTCACATAATTGTTTTTTTGGTCAAACCTTGTTATTTAAGTTCTGGAGAGTATTCAGTGATCACAATAAGAAAGCTTAACAGACCTACTCACTAACTTCTCAGGCCCCTGCTGTTTACAGAAACAGTTTTCTCTCCTGATGTTATATTTTTGATGTGTGAATGTGTTTTAGAAAAGAAAATGTAACTGCGCCATATCACTATACTCAGTGGTATAGTTTTTTAGTTTTGCTGTTACAAATCTCTACTTCTCGAGGGTAGAAATTGAGCTTGATGACATTCTCGTGATGTGCGAAGGAAGGCCCTCCCTGGGAGTTGCCGGATGCATTGAAGTAAACCTGACTGCTAAGGCTTTTGTGCACTTGAGGCAATTTAACCTAATTTGTTTAAAAGGTATATTGTCTTCTCTGGATAGAATGTCTTTTGTTAATGTTTGATACTGTATTTGAATCTAGGCTAGTGAACTCTCTCTCAGCACTGCAGGATACTAAATGGTTCCTCTCAGACATTTGTGTGGTAGGGTCTTCTCCGGGAGAGACTGAAATTCATGCTTTTATTCCCTTTCCAAATTAGAATTCTAAGTGGTGAAAGATGGTTTCGTTTTTAAAAGCAGGTGAGGTCCAATTCAGGGTTCCCTGAGTTCAAAGAAAGTTGTCTCCCAAGTATTAAGATTTGGTTGAGCAGAGCCCAGCGTACTTTGGAAGTTTCCTTTGAGCTGAATAAGCCTTTGAGATGATTCCAGCTGTAGATTAGTCCTATTCAGACAGAACTTTAGAACTTGTCAGGAACCAACTGTGAGACAGTAACCAGTCTGCTTATTGCTCAAGAAAATATCAGCATTTTGACCCATTCAACAAGGCATTAATTTATTGAACAATTACCGTGTGCCAGACCCAGCTCTAGGTTCTGAATAGAGCAGTGAAAAAGACGTTGTTCTGCTACACAGAGCTTATATTCACGAGGAAGAAAAATACATTAACAAATAAAACAATTATAGAGATAAGTGCATTAAGGAGATAAATAGGGTGCCATGATAAAGAATAACATTGGAAGGTGCAGGCCTCTCAGAGGAGGCAGCCTTTGTTTGAGACCTGAAGGATGACTCCAGGCCCCAGCCAGCATAGAGCAAGGGGATGAGCATTCAAGGAACAGCTAAAGCAAAGTCTCTGAGCTGAGAAAAAGCTCAGAATGTGCTCTGAGGTCGCAGAGATAAAAAAAGCCACTGTAGGGAAGGCGTAACGAGCAGGGGAATGTGGCATCAGAGAAGTCAGAAAAGGTAGGCAAAGGATAGATTATGGATAATCGTAAGAAGTTTGGATTTCATTCGAAGTGCAGGTGAAGTCATGGAGGGGCTTTTAAGCAAGGGAATGACGTAGTCTGTTTAGTGTTTTAGAAAACCACTCTGTGGAAAGTGGATTTCAGAAGGGTAAGAGTAGAAGCAAGGGGACCAGTTAAGAAGCTTCTGCAATAGTTCCCGTGGAAGAGGATGTGGACAGGGCTGATGTCAGTGAAGATGGAGAGATCAAGATAGTTTTTAGAAATAACAGGAGTTGTTAACAGGCTGGTGTGGAAGGCAAGGGGCAGGAAGAAATCAAGGATGCCTTCAGGGAAGCTTGAGGAATGAGGTGCTGGTGCTCTTTACTGACATTGGGAAGATGAGTATAAGAATGGCTTTGTGGAGGGGCACATCAGGATTTAGTTTTAGAAATTGAAATACCTGTGAGACCTCCAAGAGGAGGTGTCAAGTAGACATTGGAGGTCAGTGTGGAGCTCAGAGTAGAGGTCTGGGCTGAAGAGAGAAATTTAGAAGTAATCAGCACATAGGTAGTATTTAAAACCATATACCCTTACAGAGAGTGTGAGTGAAGAAGACGGTCCTGAGTTTGGATGAGAAAGAAAGCACCAGCAAATGAAATAGAGTGTCCGGGGAGATAGGAGGGAAACCAAGAGAGCGTAAGGTCACAGCAGCTGAGAGAGGAAGATATTTCAAGAAGGCGTTGGTGATTGGTATGTCACATGCTGCTGAGGTATCCTGTAAGGATAGAATGCGTCCTGTGTCTGCTGAATTTGGATTTGGTGACTTTGACGAGGCATTTTCAGAGAGGTGGGGATAGAAGCCAGGCTGAAGTGGGTTTAGGAGTAAATGGGAGGTGAGATCATGGAGACAATATGTCTCTGCAACAAGCAAACCAACTAACAAAACTTGTTCAAGAGGCTTTACTGGAAAGAAAAGCAGAGAAACCATAGCTGAATAACTAATGGAGAGAGAATTGGGTTCAAAGGAGTAGGTTTTTTGTTCTTTGTTTTTTTAATGAGAAATCCTATTGTTTATGTATATATGAGAAGTAGTACTGAGAAAGAGAGATTAATGATTGATGTGGGAGAGAGGAGATAACTGAAAGAGTGATGTCCTTGGGAAGGCATGAGGGGTGGGGATTTAAAATCTGGGCCCAATCCTCAAGGGCCTTCCATTCTGGTCTTAAAGATAAGATTAATTCAAAATAGGCTATAGTTATGTGCTAAATTCTGTGGTTTTGATTGTGTATTTTCTGATAGTTCAGAAGAGCCACCAGTGGAGGCTAACTTACTGATGAGGGTTTCTAGGGAGAGAAGGCAGTAACAATTAAGTGGGACCTTGAAGGATAAGCAGAGTTTGAAAAAGGGACAGTAACACTGATAAAGAGAATGTGTGGGAGCCAGTAGAGTAGACAGGGTCTTGTATGCAGAAAGCTCCACTGACTGAAGGAGAGCTTTCTCATGGAATGAGTAGTGGAAAAATGTGGGTCATGTCCACCAACACCAGATGAGGGCATTTGAATACCAAGCAGAGGAGACAAGATGATCCAGTAGGAGCTGACTATACACTTGAGCAAGCAACAGGAATGATGAAAACCATATTGTAGCAGGATGAAGTCATAGCCACATTGTAACCACATTCTGTAGCCTGGGCCTGAAGTTTCAAGTCCTCGGGCGAGGGTGGCTGCTGTGGAAATGGAGAGCAAGTGACAGATATGGGGGATATTTAGAGGGAAGAACTGATAGGATCTATCTATCTTGTCAGTTTGGATATAAAGGGCAAAGAAAACAGAGAAGCAGATGATGACTTCAGGGTTCCTAGACCAAGAGTCCAATGATATTGGGAATGGTCGGGACTTCTTGAGATTCAGGTAAGCACAAATTGTCTGAAAGAGGCTATAGGATTTTGTAAAAAATGTTGGGAAGTCCGTGCTAGAGACTTCAAGTAATTTCTGAGCTGGAAGGCACCTTTTCCCTGGCTGTTAGCATGGGTGGCAGCTGGAGCTGAGAGTGGGTGAGCTCTTCCCTTTTCTTGAAGGAATGAGTGGAGAGCAGGGCAAGCAGCAGCCAGTGGTCTCAAGCTCAGAGGAGATCGAGCCCCACAGCTCAGCAATAGGGGAATAACGGAACCTACTTCCAAGGGTCTCCTTTTCTGGACATGGAATTTATTTATACTATTTTATTATTTTAATATACTTTTGCTGAGGAATCTTGGAAAATTAATTTCTTTATTCAGCTCATCAAAACACTCTGGTTTGTCAGGTTACTTTTTTTTTTTTTTTGGTGAGGAAGATTCGCCCTGAGCTAACATCTGTTGCCACTCTTGCTCTTGTTGCTGAGGAAGGTTGTCGCTGAGCTAACATTTGTGCCAGTCTTCCTCCATTTTGTATGTGGGACACCGCCACGGCACGGCTTGATGTGCAGTGTGTAGGTGCACAACCGGGAACTGAACCTGCAAACCCCAGGCCAGGCCCCTCAGATTACTTTTTAATTTAAAAACTTGCCCAGGAGCATAGAAATCCAGCATTTTGTCTTCTCATTCTGTTCTGTTTTAGATATTGTAAACAAAATTGGAGACTAGAGTATTTGAGCTTTACTTTGTAGGGTGTAAAATGTGATTATTTATTATCTTCATCTCCCTGTTTGTCTTGGGATTTTGCCTCCCTCTCCTCCTCAGGAGCCTCTTAGTCCTCTCCACAAACCACCTGCTTCCTTAGGGGTTATTGCTGCTACTCTGAAGGGGCTCTCAGGGTCAGAGAAGGTCATCCCAGGATGGGGATGGCCCCCCCACAGATGCTCCTCTTCATAACAGCACTGTCTGTGTGCTGCAGCAAATCCTTACAGCAGTCAGGAAGGATTCAGAGTCATGTTTGTGGAAGGAAGAGATTATTACAGTACCTGGAGGAAGGAGAAGGAAAAAGCCCAGGTTTCTGGCTCTTGCCCTTGAGCTGTAAATTCTCAAGGACTCTCTTATAAATCTCCTGGAATCACTGTTGGAACTCCACATTCCCGTGGAGAGCAGTGTAGGGTTATCAGATAATCATTTCTGAGGCCTTCCCCCCAACCCAGCTCTGACACTTGAAAAAAAAACTTCAGAATAAAACTACAGAGTAAATCTCCATTTTAACAGTGTTGTTTTTCTTATTTGGCACAAAAGAAATTAGATGTCCCCAGCTGGTAAATCCAAAATTTCTCCTCTCTCCTGCATGTGCACGAGTGCACACAAATACACACATGCACACATACACACACACACCTTAGGACTGTAATCTCTTAAGTGGACAGAAGTACCAGCTGTGTGCTTCAGGACCGATGGTACCTTCTCTAAAGTTAGGTTGCTGTAACTAAACAGCAAGTAGAGTTAGATATTGCTTGCCTGGACACTTTCTTGCCTTAAACAAACCATGTTACCTAAAAGATTTTCTAAACAGTTGTCTTTTTTCTCTCCTTCCAGAGGGCCAGTTGAGAGTGGATGCCAATATATCTGTGCATCACCCTGGAGAGCCTCTGGGCATTAGAACTGAAGTGAAGAATCTCAACAGTGCCAGATTCTTGGCCAAAGCAATAGGTGAATGTCAGCTGTTACTCTTAATGTACCTCTTTGTAGCAGTTATCTGTTGCTGTGTAACAAGCCACCCCAAACCTTAGTGGCTTATATAATAACCATTTCAGTTTTCACGATTCTGTGGATTGGGTGGTTTTTCTGCTGCTCCTGCCTTGGCTCACTCGTGTAGCTGTGTGAAGCTGGCAGCTCAGCTGAAACAAAGGATCTGAGCTGACCTCACTCACATGTTGGGGCCTTGGTGCTGGGGGTCTGCTAGGCTTCTCTATCCACATGGTCTTTCTTCATTTGCTTGCCAAGCCTTGGCCTTCTTATTTGGCAGTGGGGCATTCCAGAAGGATGAAGGCAGAAGCCTTAAGGCCTCTTGAGTCCTCAGCTCTAGAACTCACACAATGTCTCTTCCAACATAATCTGTTCAAAGCAGATTGAATTCAAAGCAGATTCAAGGGAAGGGGAAACAGACTCCACCTCTTTATTGGAGGATCTGCAAAATACTGTAGCTGTTTTTCCGTTGACCACATTCATTCTGATCAGCATGAACTTTATAAAGTAACATTTGTTCATTATAGATTGGCCATAATATTGACCTAATTTTTCTGCTTTTTACTATTTTTGCTAATAGATTACATGCAACTACATAATCAAGTGTTGGTCTTGTTGGAGTATATGCTGTGGGTATTTCAGTGTTGACAAATAAATAATAATAATTAAAATAGAACAGTTGAGTGAGATTAACATCTGGGACAATCCCATAGGAATTGCTGACTGTGAATCTGAGGGGAAGACATTTCAGAGAATAAAAATATTTTTTAAAACCAAAGGATCTAGAGGGGAAGAGAGAAGGTAGGGAAGAGGTAGAGTTTAAAGAGCACCCATTCAGGGATGCACGAGCACAAGACAGCTGAATGTGTTGCTACAGCCAAAACGTTTAGTAGAGTCCTGGGTCTTGTCAGGAAAAATATTAGAAACCATAGAGAAAAGATTTTCTAGTATTGTATAAAACCTTATTGTATGAACCTGAAATGATCAACCAGCCTCAATGAAGACATTCTGAGTCTACAAATTTTCAGTAAAAACGCATTAACGTGGTCAAGGGGATAACTTACGGGAGGTGAATGGGTAGAGGAAGCTTCCTATATGAAGACATACCTCTGTCTCTAAAAGGAGACACAGTCCATGTTTCTGAAGCCATGAAAGGTTTGGGTCAGGGAAAACCCTTATAGTCCAAGGTTGTGAAGGGGAAACTTGAACAAATGGAAGAAAGTTCCACTTCACTTAGTAGATAGTAAGTGTTCTGGGACTCAGTATTCTAAGACGTGGGTAGATTAATCTAAAAAAACAAACAGCAAGATTTTAGGTAGATTCATCGATAATGAGTTATGAAGAAGACCCCTGCCTGTTTTTGGCTCTTTCTAATCTTCTGTTATCCTATGAAGTACCCTTTGGAGCAATAGTCTGAGATAGAATTCTACCTGTGGTCTGACTCAGACTAGAAGAACCAAACCTTTACAATTACAGGCTTAATTCTCCAAGCCTGTAATTTTTCCACCCCATTTTTTTCCCTACACTGGTCCTTTTAGCCATCATTTCATGTCAATCAAAGAAACCATTGGAGTGGGGAAGATGAGGAGCAGAAACTGAGATAGTTTGGTGTTACTGCTTCTTATCAGCTCAGATAAGAGAGTTTGGATTTGGGCAAGGGAAGGTGGTGCATGGTAGGGTGAGGAATTAAGGGGGAGGCTAAAGCTATTTTCATAAAGAAGCTTAGCAATTGTGGCTTTGTTTTGATTACCACAGCCTGCCTTATTTGAAGGTGAGAGCATGGCATAGAGCAGTGGTTCTTAATCATTTGGGGTCATAAATCCTTTTGAAACTATAATGGAAATTCTGGACCCTCTCTCCAAAAAATGTACATACACAGATGTCCACACTTTGTATACAATTTCAGGAGGTACCAGAACCCTCTGAAGCCCATCCATGGATCCCAGGATAAGAACTCTTTATAGGCAGGCAATAGTCCTAGATCTGGAGTCACAAAGCCTAGATATTGGTCCTGGCCCTTCTTCTGCCAAGTTGTATAATCTGTACTGGCTCACTTAATCTCTCTGAACCTGACTTTTCTCAAAAAGTGAGGGGGTGCAGCTTTCTAAAAGGCCCTTTCCAGCACCATTACTGTATGACAGCAGTGAGAAGAAAATACAGCATATAAGGAAAGAATTATTATAAACAACTTTCTTGATTATTTTTGACTTAAAGGTTAAAAAAGATTTCTAATTATTGCTTGACTGGATGAAAGGAATCAAAATATGATACTAAATTACTATGTTTTTCTTAGACTATGAAATTCAGAGACAAATCAATGAACTTGAGAATGGAGGTGAAATTCTGAACGAAACTCGCTCCTTTGATTACAAGCTGGGGTGAGTTCGCATTGACAAGCATCTTGAGGACAGCTGGGTAGGCTCCGGTCTGGGCTGCCACAGACCAGCCATGTGACCTTGAAGAAGGTACTTAGCTTCTCTGCACTTTAGTTTTCTCATTAGTAAAATTCAGGAAATACTGTACCCTACAGGGGTGTAATATACCCTGATGAGAGGGCTGGTAAGTGGTTTAAACTGGACCAGACTTGTACGTAAGCACTTAGTCTTAGGTCCTGGACTTCTCTTGCTTCCAGCTTACCTGCTTTTCAGCAAAAATTTTTACTTCCTTAAATTCTATCAGATTTAACCTCTGCCAGTTTAATCTAGAGGTGGAGAAAACCTTAGAGGTGGTTGTAGAGGTGCCTTATTTTTTTTTAGATAACTTTGACTCTAAATTTTCTGGCTTTCAATTTTGAGAATTTTATACTTTTAGCAGAAGACTGAAAAAAGCTCAAAAGCGTACCATTTGAGCTGGTTCAAAGCTGGAAACATTGAAGCATTTTCTTTTCTTTTTTTTTTTTAATTATCATTCTGAATATTTCTCTTTTTTTTAATTTTTTTTTTTTTCCTGAGGAAGATTCACCCTGAGCTAACATCTCTTGCCAATCTTCCTCTTTTTGCTTGTGCAAGATTCGCCCTGAGCTAACATCTGTGCCAGTCTTCCTCTATTTTGTATGTGGGTTGCCACCACATTATGGCCACTGACAAACGGTGTAGGTCTATGCCCAGGAACCGAACCTGGGCTGCCAAAGCAGAGCACACTGAACTTAACCACTAAGCCATGGGGCCAACCCCATTTAATACTATTTTTTAATGTAATTATGTAAGTGTCTCCCAAGGAAGGCTGAAGAGCTTGAATTTGCCTGTGTCCCTTATTGGTGTGGAAACCCCCTCTCTGTAGATATGCCAGCCAATGTTGCATGCAGTATTTAATGTTTTCTTATTTAACTATCATAGGTGCACCGTACCAATGAGAGACAAAGAAGGAAAACAAGACTACAGGTGGTTACTACTCTTGTCAAAATGCCATTCTGTATTTGGGGTGAGGGGCATATTTCAAATCCACTTACAGATCAACATAATGATTCTGGATAGTTTTTAGGAACCACTTTTCATTGTTGCATGATGCAAAATCTAGACTTCCTATTTTATGTGTGTATTGAGAGAAACCAAATTTTCTTGATTTGGTAGCCTTGGCATGTCTTATTTGATGGGATTCAACTGTTGGAAGACACTTATTCACTCACTTCTGTGTCAAAGTTGTTATAATTGAGCTAAGAGGATGGCAATTGAGGATGGGGCCTAGGCTGTTCTTATTCTTATATTCAGTAACAAATTCAGTAATACACTGACGTTCCATGAAAAAAGACATGTATATGTTAATGGCATTTCCCTTCAAACCTCAAGTGATGCTATTTGATACATTAAGCAAATTGTATTTAATATGAGACCCAGAAATAAAGCAAATAATAAGGATAGACTTAAGATAAACTGAACCTCTGATTTTTTTTCCCATTGAAGTTAGCAGATTGCAGAGATGGAAGTTTTAAGCAATGAAGTTGTTGAGGTTAGCCCACCTTTCCTTTGTAAAGCATAGGAAGTTCTAAGTGTAGCCATTGCTGTCCAGGAGGAACAAATGTAGCATCATGATATGGGAAAGAAGAAGCTCAGAAACCCTAGAGTGAACTTCACGTCAAGGAGTCCTCTCATGTGTCTGTCGAAGTCAAGATTATTTTAATTACTGTGAAATTCTAGATTCAATCTGTACTTCCCAAGAACTTCTTTGTTCTTCAGTTTTGCCCCTACTCTGTTTTGGGTGCTTTCTTGATAAGCATGGAGTTTGGCTTTTAGCTTAGTCAGTGGCTTCAGCTCAATCCCTTGGGTTAATAGATGGTGGGATTCAGGCAGCCTCCCTTTGGTTTCCTCTTGCCTTCACAAGTCAGACTGATTCATAGCACAGATTTGCCATCAAGGTGATGGGTTGCTTGCATTTCTAATCTATTACCTTGGAGCCACCATTTGTTCGTCATTATCCTGCTTCTCCATTAGCCCTTTGACAAGTGTGGGCAGAGAGAAAATGTTAGTGCTGGAATAGAACAGAGAGAAGGACATCTTTGTTTCCTAAGATTAATATGCAATGGTGTAGCTTCCACATTTTTTCAAATTAATTGACTTCATTTTTTGGAACAGTTTTAAGTTTACAACAAAATTGAGTGGAGATTACAGAGAGTTCCTATAAACTCCTTCTCCCTCCCAGCCACCCACCCCCACAGTTTCCCCTAATAACATCTTGCATTAGTGTGGTCCATTTGTTACAGTTGATGAACCGATATTGATACCTTATTATTAACTAAAGTCCATAGTTTACTTTAGGGCACACTCTTGATGTTGTACATTCTGTGGGTTTTGATAAATGTATGATGATATACATCCACCATTATAGTGTCATACCGAATAGTTTCACTGCCCTAAAAGTCCCTTGTGCTCCACTTGTTCATCCTTCCCTCCCTCCCCACTAGCTTCTACATCTTATTTAGTCAAAATCCATTCATTTTTTTCCACTTCCCAGGGAAGAAAGTTTTTTTTTTCCTTTGACTTTTCATTTATTACACAAATACTACTAAAAATAGTGAAAGTAAAAAAATGGGGGAAAGTCATCTTTCTCCCTAATAAGTAAATGGTTCTCATTTGGTCCTCTTTTTTCCAGCCTGTCTACGAATATATACTTTATCCGTGATTATAAGTCACAGTATGGCATCAACCTTGCATTGTGCATTTTTCACTCTCTAGCTCATAAGCATGGAGAGCAACAGACATGGCAGTTTTGACCTGTAATTTACACTTGTGCAGAGACTAGTTCCTGGGAACCAGGAAGAGTTGATAATATAGGACATTAGAAAATATTTGCAAGTAACATGGCATCTAAACACAGAAACGTTCATATTACTGATAGATTTTTTTTTTTCTTATTAAACCAAATACTTCAGAGTCAGGCCTCGGTCTCCTCTCTCTGCCTAGGTTTATGCCAGAACCCAACCTGCCTCCCTTGCTGCTCTATGATGCTGAATCTCTGCCCACCGCTGCAGACCCACAGCAAGTGATCAATATTGACCAGATTCGGGAGCAGCTGCCGGAGCTCCCCAGTGTGACCCGGGAGAAGCTTGTTCAACGGTATGGAATGCTGCCGGAACACAGCTTCGCCTTACTGGTAGGTATTGATCAGAAGCTAATATAAACCAGCTCAGCTAATATAAACAATGCTCAGCTCAGCTCAGCATTGAGTAATGCTGTTCAGTGGGCCCTGAGTGGAGAGGGCAGATTGCTTTCTGTTGTACGATAGGTGCTTCTGAGGAGAACAAGGCCTGATAATCTTTGCTCGCTACCCTGTATGGTAAATGCTCCTTGTAGAACCAGAAGATGAAGCAGCTTCTCGTGTCAGTCATTTTTTCTGTGTAGAAACAAACAGCTGCTTACAGCAGCCATGGAGGCTTCTTAAAAACAGTCCAAATGTTGTGGATGAGTGTGTTCCCATGTTTCTGCGGGACAGAAGAAAATCAATGGGTAGGGGGCCGGCCCCGTGGCTTAGTGGTTAAGTGAGCGCGCTCCACTGCTGGCGACCCGGGTTCGGATCCCCGGCGTGCACCGACGCGCTGCTTCTCTGGCCATGCTGAGGCCGCGTCCCACATACAGCAACTAGAAGGATGTGCAGCTAAGACAGACAACTATCTACTGGGGCTTTGGGGGGAAAAAATAAATAAATAAAATCTTTAAAAAAAAAAAAAAAAAAAGAAAATCAATGGGTAGGGTTTCTGGATGTCTAGCAGTATTGAACCATGACGGGCTCTGGCAGGAAGTTAGAGTCTCAAAAGCCAGACAGTTGTTTTACCAATTGTAGAAGAAAACATTTATTCCACACGAAATGCTGAAATCTCTGACTAAAAGTATCAGTCCTTTGAGGCTTGAGGATGCCTCTAAGGAGGCCATTAGAGACTCTGACACCAATGAGGTCTGCTTAGGGATTTTCCATCCTTTTCAAAGCTGCTTGGGGCTTTGCAGTTTTCTCTGTCATGGCAATGTTAAAGCAAGACGGCCTCAGTGAGCGTAGCATTTTGTCACAGTTGTCTTCTGCTTGTCTGTTAGGCAGGAGTGGAACGTTTGCTGTTGCATCTTTCAGAGACTAGGCATATGCCACACTCATCTTTTGGAGCAGCAGAATCTATGGAATCACTGAATTTTTGCATTTTAATTGACTGATAATAAATATAGAGGGATGTTAGGATATACATATTTGTATGTATATTTATATACTTCAGTAACAGCAGCTCAGCCATTTCTGGTACAAGGTAGGCAATCGGATGTTTGTTGAATGATTTTTCTCTTTATCATCTACAAATTAGCTAATTTGAGAAGTATCCAGAGAGTCTCACAGGAAAACTCCTCTTTTATTACCAATAATGATTAGGCGTGAACAGTTATTTTCTCATATGTTAAGCAGAGTTGATCACTGTCTCCTATGGACTGCAGTTGTATCTTATTTATACCTCTGTGGCGATTATATGGCTATATTTTAATTACTTATTGGTGTATCTTATCCAGTGCCTTGAAGGCAAGGATTGTTTCATCCTCTCACTCTCTATTACTCAGCACAGCTTAGCAAATCAGCAGTGCTTAGTGCCAAATCTTTGTAGCAATCAGTTGGTCAGCATCTCATACAGAATACCTTTTAACCTGAAGCCTCTTACAACTCATGTATTTTTCCTAGATTGATTTAACCAAACTGAGTTTTATTCTTATACAGCTTCTCTGCCATCTTGATCACTTGAATTTCTAGCCCACTTGAAATAAATTCCAGACTAAATACTAAATGCTAAATTCCAGTCGTGCATTTTATAACATATTTGCCAAATTATATAGGGGAGAGGAGGACAGGGATGGGGGCTACCCAGCCTCAAAGATGTCAGTTCCCTCTCCCCATTTGGCCTTCTGCTAGGTGGACAAAGGCAACCCTTGGAGGTCGTGAGTGTTGAACCCAGGTTTCTTGGCCATTTCTGTGCTCAAGACTGTGATTTCCAAGAAGAATCCACTAAATATAATGTTATAAATTCTTTTTATATATCACCTTTCTTCGTAAGAGAAGTGAAAGACCTTTCAGAATCTCCTCTCAAGAATGTGGCTGTTTCTCTCCAAGGCACGTCTGAAAATATATGCTCCCTTCAGAGAGCATCTCTGTAGGATTGTCACACCACCTCTGATGAGCGTGTGATGGGGGGAGCTTCTGCCTCCCTTCGCTGAGAGTAAGTTGTCTGAGGGCAGACACGTTTGTGTCCCAGGCTCCACTCATGCGTCCTTCCAGTACCAAAACCCAGGAGGCCTTGAATAAATGTCTGCTGTGGGATGGCAAAGGAGTGAGTCTATATGTTTTCATAGTTTAAGGCCCTCTGTAAGGAAACTTGCCTTTGATATATTCAGCTCAGCACTTTTATTGGTATCTCCTATATAGCAGGTACTGAGATAGGGACAAAGATTTTTTTTAAAAAAGATGTTTTCTTTGCTTCCTGAGAGTTTGTATATATACACACCTGACAGTAGAGCTAACCCGCCCCCAGGGCAGATTGCAATAGATAGATCTGTAATGTAGGATGGAGCCCAGAGGAGGTGATGATGAACTTGATTGGGACAGAAGGGGAAACATTCAAGGAGGAGATGATTTTTGAGCCAGTTTTGAAGGGACTTAGTTTTTGATATCTTAAAAATATGCTTATTTTTATGGCTTGCAGATAATGTATTAGGTGATTAGTTTTTTTAAAGGGCTAGTACTTGAAATTTCCAAGACGAGTGAGAAGAGAACTCGATAGGAATGGAAAGAGAATGATTCAGATAGATTGTTTTTCTGAAATTAGGCATCCTGAGCTCTTTATGACTTTGTAATCATTGGAAGCTAAGATACTCATGCCCGAAAAGGATATGTTCTTGTTTTTTCCTGCCTTCATCAGAAACAACAGATTGCTGAGAAGGGCAGATGCGCAAATCTAATGAACCATCTTTCAATTTAAAGAGTGCCCAGGAGTATTGATTAAATAAATAGCAGTGGTGGAGGTGCGCTTTGCAGAGCTTCAGCTCCGTGCTCCCTGCCTTTGGATTGCTTATTAAATTAAGCGTTAAGCACGTACCCACCCCTACACACATGCCTTACCCACAAATAATAAAAACTTCAGATTTTGACTCTAGTCTTTAATTTATCTTTTCATTTTATTGTGCAGTAAGCACTGAATTATCTATTGTTAATTTATCCTTGATATTTGCAGGACTCCAATATTATGGCTTAACTGTATGTTATATCTTAGCATCTACCACAATCTCTGGCACATAGTAGGCACTCAGTGAATATTTGTTCAGTGAATGGATGGATGCATGAGTGAGTGCATGGGATACTATTACAGTACTCGTGAGAATCCTGGGAGAAGTGTTCCTAATAAAAGCATCCCTGTTTCCAAAGATCAGATACGTAAACCATGCTTGTGACGGTCCAGCAAATCATGGACTGATCCCTGTGTCTTTGAACTCTGGGTGCGGAGACCTGGATGGCCACTTCAGTGTACCGTGACCAGATGCAAGTCACTTGGTCTCTCTGACTCTTGTTTTCCGAACTGGTTTCATTAGGACATTAAATCAAATCTATATTCTGATTTTCTCTCTTAAACCCTTCTGATAATGCCCTCCCAGCAGAAAACCTGTATTACTATTTTTTCCTCTTGCCACATAAAAAGTGTCTTGCCCCACCTGAAACTTCAACCTATTTCACTGACCTTGAGTCCCTACCTTGTGTCAAGTTGCCTTGATTTCTGACCTCATTTGTAAGGATTCAGGAATAGAAATATGGAAGCTGAGATCCAGGTATTAGTATTCTGAAAAACAAGAGATTCTAATATCATAGCAAGTCTTTCTCTGAGTCAGTATATCCTAGAGTAGTTATTAGAATGATCAAGACTATATGCATGTGCATTTTTCTTAGCAAATAATCCCAGGGTGATGTCTGTGGGGGCATCTCTTTCTAAACTCTGCCTTCCCTGACTCAGGGAATGCAAATGAATTGTAATCTTTTTCATAAGCAGCACATGAAAAAGGCTGCTCGCTAACAGCATATTCCGCAGTTTACAGGGGACCCTTTTTAGTGTGTTGTTACAACAGCCCTCTGCGATAGGTATTGTTGCTCTCCCTGTTTTACAGGTGAGGAAACAAGCTCTGTGGTTGAGCATAGACGTTAGCTAACTTCCACGAGCCAGGTTCAAACCAGGCCCGGGCTCTTCGTTTCTAAGCTCTGCTACCTACCTGCACATATAATGTGCCACAATGCCAGATAGGAATAATGTTTCAAGTTCATGGCTGTTTTGGATCACTTGATAGAGAAAATAGAACTTTTACTTTTGTTAGTATTAATGCTTTATATAGTCCCACTAATGCTTCATGAAGCACAGTCATAGAACACTAGTTCATTTAAAACTTTTGACCATTGCTCTTGGTTTTTAAGATGCCAGACTGCTCTATAAATAAACATAAAATGCTGTCTACTAAATTTAGTGAAAATCAGTCAACTCCAATGAAAAGCAGAAATTATGTTCATTTTCCAAGTAGAAAATTTAAGTCAGAGAAAAGAAATGTAAGCTCCCTTCTGCAGCTTTATTTATTTTGTTTCTTAAACTTTCTGCCTTAGGTACTTTGGCTCCTTCTGACTGAATCAGTGAGAAGAGTCTCCACATAAGGCGGAGGGTGTGGGTTTGTGGGTTTTGTGGGATGATTTTGCCTGGTGCCTCCTGTCATGCACTCAGCACATGGTAGACACTTGGTAAGGAAGGGATGTGAGCTCACAGGGTGACTGCTGTGTCTGAAGTCAATAGACAGAAATATTTCAATCTCATCTGTCATGGGAGATTTCAGTAGAGGAATGGTATAGCATCCCCAATTTAGTATTTCTTCAGGGCCTGCTGCCCTCTCCACAATGCCCTGTGCTGCTGTCAAATAGAAGAGCTTTATCTTTTCCATGTTGCTTTTAACTCTCCTGAGTAGCACTACAGGGTGATGGGTTAAAACACTCAGTAAGAGGGGCCGGCCTGGTGGCATAGTTAAGAACTGGTTAAGTTCGTGCGCTCTGCTTCGGTAGCCCAGGGTTCGCAGGTTCAAATCCCGGGCATGGACCTATGCACCGCTTGT